TCCACAGCGTCAGGTTGTCCCGCAGCAGCTGCATGATGAGGGTGCTGTCTTTGTAGGAGTCCTCGCTGAGGGTGTGCAGGTCCGCCATGGCCTCGTCGAACGTGGTCTTGGCCAGGGAGATGGCCTCCTCGGGGCTGTTGGCGATCTCGTAGTGGAAGACGGAAAAGTTCAGGGCCAGGCCCAGGCGGATGGGGTTGGTGGGCGGCATCTCCTTCTTGCTGATGTCCATGGCCTCCTGGTAGGCGGCCCGCGCCGAGTCGATGATGCGCTTCTTGTCGTCGCCCGCGGCCACCTCGGCCAGGTAGCGGTAGTAGTCGCCCTTCATCTTCAGGTAGAAGACGCGGCCCTCGGCGTCGCCCGCCTCCTTGATGAGGTGGGAGTCCAGCAGGCCCAGCACGGCGTCGCACACGGCCCGCAGCTCCGTCTCCACCTTCTCCCGGTACTCCCGCACCTCGGGGCCCTTGTCTTCCGAGCCCTCCTCGCTGCTTTTCTGCTCGATGCTGGACAGGACCCTCCAGGCCGCCCTCTGGCCGCCCACCACGTTCTTGTAGGCCACGGAGAGCAGGTTGCGCTCCTCGCACGACAGCTCCTCGCCCTTCTCCACGGCGCCCTTCATGAAGGCTGCCATGTCCTCGTAGCGCTCGGCCTGCTCGGCCAGCCTCGCCTTCTGGATCAGACTGGCTCTCTCCATGGCTCTGGGACAGACGGTGGCGGCGGGCTGACTGGCGGCCTGGGTACCAACGCTGGACTCTGGGCCTCGCCTGCTCTGGCCTGCCTTTTGGCTGGGCAGCCTGGCTGGTGAGGGGCGGGGAGGGGCAGGGGCGGACCGCGCTCAGGACCTGCCTCCCAGCCTCTTCTCCCACACCCTTTCCGGCTCTTCCTTAAAGGTAAAAGGCTGGGACGAGGGGTGAGTCACTGGGATAGTCAGCAGGGAGGTCTGGGTGTGGGCCCCACCTCTGGTCAGGGCTGCCCATACCGGGGTGCCCACGGCGGGCCGAGCCAGACCCTCCTGCGCCCAGGGTGGAGGGTGCCTTCAGCCCTCGACACCTCGGCCCAGGGAGCACCTGCAGCACACAGGCTCGCACTCGGCCTGCCCGTGCAGGGTGCAGGAGAGCCGGCTGCTTGGGTTGAGCTCAGCCGCTTCCTAAACACTCGGGGATCTCACTCAGTCCCCACCATGGCTCTGCGGGCAGCCTGCAGGCAGGAACTGACTCAGACAGGTGAGGCTGATTACGGCAGCTGCCAAGTCCCTGAAATCCTCTCCCCCAGCCCCACTTCCTGTGGCTTTTCTCCCACGGAGGCCTCGGACCTGCGAGCTTCAGGCTGTATTTGAAGTGAGGGCCAGGCTTCTCCCGAGTCTATGTGAAGATGCTTCCCCAGGCCTCATCCACCCTCGAGTCCCCTCTGAGCGCCCTGGACGCCCAGGTGGCAGCTCTCAGGGTGCCACTTAATGAAGCGTTTAACAAGCGGCCTCTGATGCTGCAGCCCAGCCTTTGTAATTAGTCACTCACCTTCCCCAGAGCAGCCCGATTTTCCCTTTCAAGTTGGTGGCCTGTTGCCACTTGTTCCTGGACTTACCCTCTGGCTCTCCACGCCCAGTGCACCCCCCCCCAAGCTGCCTGCTGTCTTTAGCAGCAGGGTTCAAGAGGGAGGGGCGGCCGCCTGACTGTCCCACTTTCCTGCCTGCCTCAGCCCGCCCTGTCAGAGGCCGGGAAGCGGGCCACCTAGGTGCCCCGTCCGGTTTGGTCCCCCAGGGGGGACGCTAGTAAGAGGGAGAGAGACGGGGCTGAGAAAAACCAGGTGGCTGCGACATTTTACTTTACGGGCAGGAATCTCAATGGAGTGATGCCTCCTCTGGCCTGTCCCTCCTGTGACCATGGCCTACCTCTGTCCCCAGCAGAGGCCTTGAAGATGAGAACTTCTCTTGCCAACCTGTCCCTGTTTACTGGGTTCTGTTCTCAAGTGTCACCAAGGTTCACCTAAGGGCGATGGCACTGAGCCAGTGAAGGTGGGTTCCTGCTTATCTGCCCCACCCAAGTCAGAGTTTAGATGGGCTCGGGGTGGGGCTCCCTCCTAGGGGTTCGGCTGCCTAACCCTCAAGCCACACTCGTGTACCCCATGCTTCCTCGGAGCTTCTACCCACCGGGAGGAAGGCTGAGGCCAGCGCACCGAGGATCGACCACGCCACCTGCCACTTTACCACCAGGAAGAGTCACGTCTGGGTCTGGGCCAGTGCCGCAGGGTTCCCAAAGATGAGGGTTTAGGCTTCACACCCCAAAGGCCATGCTCAGATGAGACAGCCGATACAGAAAATGACAGAAAGAAACTACACTAAGACACGAGCCCAGAGGGCCAGCTTTGCTTCTCGTCCCAGAGCTGGTGACGTGAAAAAATGCTGGGCATGAGTGCATGTGTGCCCCAAATCCCAACAAGGAGAGAAGGGATTGTGGCGTGGTCATCTCCCCGAGGGGGGATGCTTTCTCACCTTCCCTTCTCTCTGTCTCTCAGGCGAGCACACACACCCTATTACAAAACGAGAAAAAATACAATAAAAAGATACCAACCCAGAGAAGAATCTTCAGGTAGTGAAACAGTGGTTTTCTCCCTTTTCTCCCCAAGTGATTAATGGTGAGTGTACATTTTCTACGAGGATCTTTGGAATCAGAATGTCTGGGCTCAGTTCTTACAGGCTGGTGTGGCTTGGGTCACGTGACTTCACCTCGGTGAGCCCGGTTCCTACAAGGGCACGCCGTGAGGATCACACGTTAAGTGGGAGACAGTGGTGTGGACAGCAACTACCGTGCCAAGTGAAACCCCAGCCAACGCCATTACTATAAACATATGCGCCCAGAGCATTAACGCAGAGCCGGGGTCTATGGAATGAGGACCAGGCCCTGCCCGACTGGGTGGCCACAAGTTTGCCTATAATCCTCAGCCCTGGACGAGGGGGCCAGACACTCCGCACTGCCTCTTCCCTCTCCACCCAGGACACTCCTCTGGTTTCAGCGAGCCCGGGCCCTCGAGCACCTTCCTCTGCCCGGTCACCCAGCCTGGGTTTTCCCAAGTCCCAGGGAAACCTAGAAGGCGGGGCCTGGCAAGCCTTGGAATTTTAGAGCTTCTTCCAAATCCAGGGAGGGGGCATCCTTTTCCCGTCCCTTAAGTCAGGGTCTGGTGGTGGCTCACACTCCAGTTCCACACCCTCAGCACAGCCTGGAGCCAGGGTGAGGAAGCCTGTCTCCTCCTCTGCTGAAGCTCAGGAGCCATGCTGCCTGACACCTGCCTGCTCTGGCCTGTCCACCCTGACTCAGTTCCTGTCTCAGGCACCACCCTTTGCCTTCAGGCCTCCGTTTCCCAAGTACCAGAGCCCAGGTGGGCAGGAGGCAGCAGGCCCTGGCAGGGCCTGGAGCTCTGCAGCCGGCTGCCTGAGTCAGCAGGGCTGCAGCCCACAGGGGCTTTCCTCATCCCACCTCCCTCCCTCGCCACCCTCGGTAGAGCAGCCATCCGTTGCCGGGTCGCAGCTGCTGGGCCCACAGTCAACCAATCCTCCTTAGCTGACTACAACAGGCTTCGAAGGGCTGTGTGCAGAGAGGATGGCAACCAGTGAGAATAGGGAACAGGGCTGTGATCGCAAGATTCCAGAAAGGACTTCCTAGGAAATGGTTCAGTCTTGGAGGTTCTAGCACCTTCTTCCCCAGTTAGCAGTGAATATAGGCCCATTTTTCTAGCCAGGAGCTCACTAGTTTTTAAAAATTTGTGCTTCAAAATTAAATTTTAAAACATTTTAAATAATTACTCATTAATTTTATTCATTCATTTTAATTTTACCAGAGAAATACGCAGAGCAAGAGAGAGAGAGAGAAAGCAAGCCACTGGATCCGGGACTCAAACCATGGTCAGCCACGCCGGAGTGTCCGGCACCTTAAACACCGTGCCACCTTCTGGTCCCCAGATTTAAAAATTTTTAAATGAGGTGTGTGTATGCTTGCAGGAGAGATTCAGACAGCCAGAGGGAAAGTGAAAACACACCCCCTGGGGGGACGGCCACACTACAATCCCTTCTCCATTCTCCTCTTCGGATTTCGGACGTGCTCGCACACACCTGGCATGTGTTGCAAACTTTTCCTCCTAAAGGCATTGTTGTCTTGAGCATCCCACATCTCCCAGACCGGTGGGGTCTAGGAGACAGTGTGGAATTTATGGAAAGAGAATGGGATGGGGCAGGGAGCGGGACTGCATCCCAGCTCTGTTCTAAGGCCTTGGGCAGGTCCCTTCCTGCCTCTGGGCTTCAGTTTCCCCATTGGTCCAACGAGAGGGCCAGCCCAGAGCACCTCCAAGCCCCCTACTGGCTATGAGATTCTCCTTCCACGGCTGTGTTGGTTCCTTGGGTGGTACAGATGGGCCGGGGGTCAGAGTTCAGGTTACCAGCCAGGTGACCTCGGGCAGCTCCTATACCTTCTCTGAGCCTCAGTTCCCTCATTTGTAAAAAGGCTGACCTCACCCTCCCTCCTCACAGGTTAAGGTGAGAAAACGGACCTGCTGCTCAGCAAGCCCTTAGGGGAGCGGCACCTGCCCTGCGCTCCCGGTACCGTGTGCACGCATCAGAGTGGGCGGCAGCCAGAGACAGGAGGGTTCCCAGAGACTGCCACGCTGGGCTGGGCTCTGCTCACGGGTGTGGCAGACAGTTCCAGACTGGAGTTAACCCTGTCTCAGCCTGGGCAGCACCTCGTAGTTCAAGGTCAGCAGAGGCTTGGCGGTCTCCAGAAGGGAGGTCGCCAACTCCGGAGGGGGAGTGACAAGAATGCTGGTCACTCGGCCCACGTCTCTCCTGGCTTCGTGGAGCCCTTCCTTTTAAGCTTATTCTGTTCACGAGTGCAAGAGAAAGAGCGTGAGCACCTGCATGCAAGGCCGAGAAGGCAAGGGTAAGAGCTACGGCAGGGTCTGGTCACGCCGCGTCCCCTACCCTGGCCCTCCCGCCATCAGGCCCATGCTGAGACCCAGTGCTTTCCCATGACTCAGGATCCAAACCTGTGTGGTCAGTCATGAGGCTTCCAGTACCGCAGGTCAGTAAGCTTCTGCCTGCACCACTGCGATGGGGCCCACCCGGCTTTTCTTTCTCTCACTTTTTTTTTTTTTCTACTATAGGGCACATGCGTTCGCCAGACAGAGAGACAGAAAGCGAGAAATCACCCCCCAGGGGGGATGGCCATGCCTCAATTCCTTCTCCTCCATTCTCCTCTCAGGATCTTGGGCACGCACGCACATGCGCCCGGCGTGAGTTTAAGCCACCGGGTCCGGGACTCGAACCGCAGTGGACTACATGGCCCTTACGCCAGCTGCTGGTCCCTCTAACTTACTTTCTAGGGGCCAGCAGGTGGCATGGTGATAAAGGCACTAGACTCCAACACAGCTGACTGCTACTCGAGTCCCAGATGCAGCAGCTTGAAACTCACGCCAGGTGTGTGTGTGCGCGTGCCCAACATCCCAAGGAGAGAAGAGAGGGAGCTGCAGCGTGGCCATTCCCCGGGGGGCTGGGGGGTGGGGTGGGGGGTGAATTCTTTTCTTTTTTTTTTGAGAGATCTTTACTATAGGGCATGTGCACTCACCAGTGAGACGGAAAGCAAGAAATCACCCCCCAAGGGGGATGGTCAAGCCACGATCCCTTCTCCTTCATTCTCCTCTTGGGATTTTGGGCATGCACGTGCAAGCACCCAGTGTGTTTTACGCCTCTGGGTCTGGGACTTCAACTGTGGTTGACTACGTGGGAGTCCATTACGCCATCTGCTGGTACCAAGGAGGAGGGTAATTTGTCACTTTCCATGTCTGTCTCTATCTCCCCAAGAGCACGTGCCCCATAGGAAATAAAAATTCTCCAAAAATTATTGGGAACCAGCAGTTAGCGTAATGGCTATGTCGCTGGACTCCCACGTAGTCGACCGCGGTTCGTGTCTCGGACCCGGTGGCTTAAATCTCACGCCAGGCGCGTTTGTGTGCGTGCCCAAGATCCCGAGAGGAGAATGGAGGAGAAGGGATTGCGGCGTGACCATCCCCCCTGGGGGCGATTTCTCGCTTTCTGTCTCTATGTCTCTTTCTGTCTGTCTGGCGAGCGCACGCGCCCTATAGCGAAAACCTCTCCAAAAAAAAAAAAAAGTAAAAAAAAAATTATTTAATGTTATCATTATTATTTTTAAGATATTTTTGCCATAGGGTGTGTACACTTGCCAGAGACAGAAAGTGAGAAATTACCCCCCAAGGGGAATGGCCATACCGCAATTCCTTCTCATCTTGGGATTTTGGACACACAAGCACACGTGCCTGGCATGAGTTCCAAGTCATCGGGTCTGGGACCCCAATTGTGGTTGTGCCACCGGGTCCGGGACTTGAACCGTGGTTGGCTACATGGGAGTTCAGCGACATAGCCATTATGCCATTATGCTGGTCCCTGTGCCGCTTTCAAATCTCCAGGGCAGCACCAACCCCGCTGCAGCGAGGCCAGAAGTGAGTGCGCGCTGGACGTGCCCCCACCACACCACCGCTGCCCCGCACCCGAACCCAAAGTAAAGGTGGCAGCAGGCAGCCAAGGTGTGGCAAGAAATCTTTATTCTGGTTAAAAGAGGTGTAGGACAGCGAGACACGCAGCCCCAGCCCCGGCTCAGCGGCCCAGATCCTTGAGCTCCTCTACGGTCGCGGGGCGGTGCAGTGAGCGCAGGTCCTGGGTGCCAGGGGCCAAGGGTACGCACCCTCCCTGCTCCGTGGGTGGGGCGGGGGGCGTGGGAACGGCGTGGAGCCAGTTGTGCTCCGAACAGTCACCCAACTTGTTCAGCAGCGTCATCGACCATCAGCGCCCAGATGGCTCCTGAAGAAACCTGCTGGGCTGGACCGTGGCTCTGCCTGACCGGGTGGGGGTGTGAAGCAAGATTCCTGAAGAGCCTTGGCTTCTCACGGCGTGGGAAAGGGGCGGCGAGGGCGGCGGGCGGGGCGCTCGGCGGGGCGCGATGTTACAGAGCTGCCGGGCACTCTATGGCGGTCCACACTGGCCAGCCGGAGTAGGGGTGGGGACAGGGGCCGGCCCTGCCCGCTAGGGGGCCCTAGAGAGCACACGGGTAAGGCAGGCAGGGGAAGACCCTGCAGGCACAGACGGTGGCAGATGGGCCACAGGTCAGGCAGGTGGAGGTGCCGGGTGCCTGGGTCCCCCCAGGCCACTCCTGGAGAGGCAGAGAGCAGCGGTCCTCAGGAGGTCCTTAAGCCCCCGCACACACTGGAGATCCGGCAGGACAGCGAAGGAGGAGAAGAGAGAGGGTTAGCAGGACTGGGAGCAGGGGGCGGCCAGCAGGGGCCCCACGGCGGCGGGCGTGGGCACAGGTGCTGCACAGCACCTGCCTCTCCCTGGGAAGGCCCCAGCTCAGGCAGCAGGCAACGAAGCAGGAGAAAGCAGGTGAGAGAAAGCTCAGCGGGACAGAAAGCCAGCACACGAGTGTCAGCGACCGCGTGCGAGGCCCTGGGAACAGTCCCGCCCCCTCTGTACCCTCCCCTGCCCTCGGCCCCAGAGCTCTCAGCTTGAAGTTCCCTCTTCTGTCCAGACAGGGCTGGAGTCTTGGGCTGCCCCTAACCCGATCCTTCTGCTTGGGGGGAGCCCGGGGGGCCCTGGCACAGCCAGCACACATACCACACTACACACCGGCAAATGAATCGGCTCTAGGGGCTTGGTGCGGCATGCGGTGAGGACCCACCGTGTGTGCTGGCCCACGGGAGACCGGTCTTACCAGCTAACCCTCTGCAAAGAGGCCTGTTAGCTGCTCAGGCTGTGCAGGAGATGGCAAAGTCCTGACAGGTGTCCTCCTGGGGAGATGCAGAGAGGTGGGCCAGGGTTACCAGCAGGCTGGTGGGCCCTGCGGCCAGGTGGGGGAGCAGGCAGGGGGGCGCCAGCTCTCAGACAGGAATCTACTGTTTCAAGTGTTTCCTTAGCTCAGTAATCGCTGGGGGTCACAGTGGAGGGAAGGGGCACAAAAAGGGACAGAATGGCCTCTTCTCACACACCCAAGGAATGCAGCGGAGGCCCTTCTGCTCGGCCACCAGCGACCAAGCTCCAGCCACCAGAGGGCTTCAGCCAGGTGCTGAGCTGCGACCCCTGTCGTCTCCCCAGGAAAGACACATTCATCTGAAAGACCAGAGAGCTGCCAGCGGGGACCTCAGCAAAGGAGAAGCAAATAAAAACCAAAGCAAATCAACTCTTAAAAACAGAAGTTTTATTACAAGCAGGAACAAAGAATACTGGCTTAAACAGGAAGCAGGCGGGAAGCCCTCCTCTAGGCAGCCTCCTGCCCTAGGTGAGGCTGTTGCTCCAGGAGGGGAGCCTCTGTGGCTGGC